GTAAACTTTTGCCTGCATGCGTAGTCAACTTTATTTCACTGGCAGACATTAGCTTCCACGTAGTTTGATTTGCCATTTATTTTTTCTAAACCTGTGCTTAACTTTACTGTAATTTTTTTTCCACAGGAAAGCAAACGGTGAGAAAAGGCTGCAGTACGCCACATTACACAAGAACTTAAGTGTTGAATAAAGGTGTTCATACCAAATACTAGCTTTTAAGATCATTTGAAATTGTACAAATTCAGTTTTTGCCTTACACACCGCATTGTAAATGCACAAAAAAAAATTCTGCATTTCCAAACAAGAGGTACTCTATATCTGCCTATTTGCAGTTATGTCAGAGCACCTAAAGTTTAGATGCATCACAATGCTTCAGAATACACGGGAGATAAAGTGCTCGACAGCCCAACAGGGTGCCAAGCCATTAATAGCTCATGGAAGTGAAATGAATTTAAAGCACACAGAAAGCATTTTGAACCAATTTACTGTCGTCAAAGTTTTTTCTGGTCAATATGATGAAAATATCACAATGACTACTCACTGAATTACATTCCCAAAGATCTACAACAACACTACAAGTGTCAACAGGAATGTTTAGGCATGTACAAAACCCTTAAAATCTCAGTATTCTGCATCCTTTATTTCATGTAAGCAACAGTCTCAGCATGGTTTGTCAGTGAAAATCAAAAGGATAACAAAAAAGGCTGTTGCTCATTTTAATTCAATGAAAATAAATTATACAGTCATGTGAACTAACATACAAAGTCTGTGCCACCACAACACAGCAAATTACTGGGAAGTCATGAGCCACAATGAGTCTGTTAGAAGTGCAGAGGCTGACTGAGTGCTGTCACCATAAGTCATTTTATATTGGCATTTTCTATGAATGACACATCACCAGTCCAGGCATTACACAAGCTCAAAGCACCAGCCACTGTTGGTAGTGTTGCAGGAGACAAAAATAATAACAGGCTGAAGACAGCAAGAAATTAGGAGGTAGTCATGTAGCAAATGGGAGAAGAAATGCTGAAATAGTTTAGGAGCCCACATCTCAGCCAGACTTGAACAGCAGAATAGCCACTTGACCCAGGTAGAAGTAGATGAAATGCTTCGTCTCATGTGTCACATAGCTGCCAAAGTTCCTCCCAACAATGCAGTGCCATGTGGGGTTGTACTTCTTGTCAAACTCCTGCAGGGGAAGACACAAGTTAGCATCTTCTTGGCAAAAATGCATGCAACAAGTTTGCGCTACTCATTTTACTTTGAAGCAACAGCAACATACCTTTTTGACATAGGCGGCGATATCCTTCTCAATGTTATACTTTTCCATGGCCTGCATGGCACAGTCCACTGCATCCTGCTGCATTTCATCAGACATGTCTGCGTTCTTGATCACAGCCTTCTTGTCACCCATGTTGGCTTTCTGACTGCAGGAGACAAAGCAATCTTTACCGTGTCCGCTCAGCTCTTACCTTCTCATGACATCACTGCTATCACACAATGTGCCTAAGGAAGCGGTCACTGGCTGCAGGGGTGCCTTTTATTTACTTTCATTTTGAATAGATGATTTACATGATTTGCAAGTGAGAGTTAAATGAAACCAGGACACTATCCAAAACAGCTGATGGAGATAGGCGTCCCTTTTATTGAGGTCCCTCGTGTAATTTAAGACATTAACATAAAGGGCCCTTTATGTTAGGATCACAAGAAATAGAAGCCATGCGTCGCTGGCATCATTATTTGGTAAATGTTGCTCGAATAGCCCAGTTTAACCATTGCAACACGCAGTATCGCTAATTTAACCCAACAACGGTGTAAGTGCTCCGATTACCAGGTTTGCAAATAATGTGCAGCAAGTAAGGTAAGAGCCTGAGAGCGTGGATGAGCACGCGGGGTACAGAAACCTCACCCCTCGCGCTGACCTGCTCACTGTGACAATTCGCAGCAAAGGTTAGAACCAAACGTGCATTTTACTCTTACCGTCTTTCAAGAAAGTCTTAACGTGCAACGGAGTGCGATGAAGGGACCGCGCAGGTTTTTCCTTTATTTATGCAAGGAAGTGTGCCCCCGTGCGTTCCGCCCTCCACTTCACATCCACCACGTGATTGGCTCGAGCGAAGCCTCCACCCTGCCAATGGCGTGGTTTTACTTGCGGACAGCACCCCGCATTTTATTTCCACCCAGAATGCAACGTTTCGCCCGTTCCCTCCCCCAACTTGCCCCATTGATCCAGGTGATTGATGTGCAACCCCCCTCGGGTCCAAAATATGCACATTCATAACTAATAAAATAGTTATGAACAAGATTTTAGTTTTTTCAAATCATATAACAAACACAGGTTCAAATTGTCCTGGTTTGCTTTTTCTCTTTTTTCTCCCTTTTCCACAGTCCTCAGTACCTCACAGTAACATTAAATTATACCCAAGCATAAACATCACAGTCCTTTTGTGTGTTAATGATTTCTTTGAACTGTTCTTTTTCCACAGTGTAGTGATTTTACAGCATACATCTTTAATGATTTTAAAGAAACAAGTTGGAATTATTTTGGATTCTCTATAATCCACAGAGAGTCAATTTTGTGCACACACTCGCCCCATCATTTAAGTTGTGCTGAAAGTTCTACAGTGTTTTTTAACTTGATAAGACCTATTAACTTCTCATTGATTGTCACAATTGACTATAAATGGTAGTTTCTTTGCCAACACAAAAAGTATTTATTTGACAGCAGTTGGTGGATTGACCAATGGGGAAGTCCAATGGGAAAGTCCAAGGAACTCTTCGGTGAAGATCTAAGGAAGAGGATTGTAGATCTACACAAGTTGAGAAGGTCTCTTGGAGTGATTTCTAAACAACTGCAGGCTCCATGATCATGAGTTCAAACACAAGTACATAAGTACAAGTCATTCAGATGTGTCACCACTTTTCCAGTGTCTGGAAGAAGACCCAAACTGTCACTGAAATTGGTTAGTACGTTCAAGGGAACCTCCAAAGCTCAAGCAGGCCATTAACTGGAACTGCTGGAACACCATGGTGACCCTGCAGGGTCACTGTCCACTGTCACCATTAACTGAGATGTCAAGCTTGACTGAAATTTCCAGCCATGAACAAACCAAATGCCTGGAGGTCCTTCATACCCCGTGAACATACCCCACGGTATGACACGGTGTGGCCAACCATAGTGATGGTAGCATCATGTTCTGGGGCTGTTTAGCTGCCACTGTTACTGGTACACTGCACAAAGTGGATGGAATCATAAAGAAAGAGGGCTACCTCCAGATTCTTTAACTTCACCTCAAATTAAGAGCTATATGTTTGGAACTTGGACCCAACTGGATGCTTCAACAAAAAAATGATCGCAAATACACATGAAAACAGGCTAACATTAATTTTCTGGAATAGCCTTCCAAAGTCATGACCTCAACCTCAGTGAAAATTTGTGGGATATGCTTAAAAGCTGAGTCCATGCCAGAAACCAACCAACAGAAGAGCAGTCAAATATCAGGCCAGAAATATGCCAGAAACTTGTAGACGTACTGTGTAATCTGATAAATCTGCAGAAATTGTACAAAAAAGAAAAACAGGAAAACAGGAAACTGTAAACTGATTTTTTATTGAAGCTTTTCAATGTACTGGAGATTATATTTATCCTAATGAATATGCATCTTCTGCAGAAAAGCGCTGACCTAAGAGAAATGTGACATACATAAAGTCACATTCTCCTGTAACCTCCCAGTCTCCCCACCCTCCGTAAGTGTGTTCATGTTTAGCTTTACCACTCTCCGTATGTGCGTGGATCCATCCTGCACCTCCCAGCCCTCCTCCTGGATTACACCAAGCTTTGATCATGTTAATTTAAAAAAGAAAAATAATTCTCATCAGGAAGCCTTCCCGTGTGGAAAGAAATTTTCTTTCTGCTGTTTGAAGGCCAATTTAAAGTTTGAATATTTCTACAAAATGTTTCCACTTTGATGGGGTTATGTGGACAGGGTCAGGGGTCGGGATCCTCTCCTGGTAAACTGCTCCCATGCTCCTGCTCCATGTATCCATCCTGAAGCCTAATCCTAATCCGGCTCCGGAATGGGGAGACAATGAGCCCAGTCCAGACCTTCAGAATACCAGCAGAACCAAAGAGAAGGAGGCAAGTTAGAATCACACCTTCAGGAAAATGCTTAAAGAAATGTCAACAAATACAGCTACCAGGGACAGAACCATCACAGGACTTTATAATGTTTTAGAAAAATCTGCAGGGACTACTGAGAAGAATCACTGGACTTTAGGGGCTTGTCTAACCTTGCCGGTATGAACTTTAGAATGTGAGCATGCAACAAACAAAACCTTTACTACAACCACAAACATCTCATTACAGTAATCAGCTATGTTCAAGCATATATTTATGGCTAAAATGGACTAAAGCCTTATCTTATGCAGATTTCAGATATAGAGACCACAGCCATCATACCATTGGTGCCATATCTGACTCCTCCTCCTCCTGCTTATCCTAATATGAACAGTCTCCTCTGTTCCCATCCTATCCTGCTCCTCTGAACTCTGAGCAGAGAAACACGGGAAAGGGTCAAAATACAATTTTATAAGCAATGCTGGTAACAAATATATTATATTAATATATATACATCCATAACAACCCCAGTATAAAAACCAAAACACAAAGCATACAATCCACACACAGGTTGGAACTGGAAGAGGAGGAGTACACACATAGGAAGGGACAAGTTTGCAGGAAAAAAGTTTAGATCATTGTGCGTGAAAAGGGGGAGAAAAGGATATAAGTAAAGGGGACATACATAAACCAGGAAAATTCAGCTGGTCTAAAGCAAAATAAATCCCGCAACAGAAATCTGGGGGAAAAGAAACACACAAGAGATGCAGGAAACAGTTAACACAGCAAATGGTCCATGGAGATCTGTTCTGTGAAGTCTGTCGTCTCCACTCTGAGACGAGCTGGTGGGATGAGCTGGTGGTTTATGTCATAGGAGGGGCGTCTAGGTGCGAGAGCGAGAGCGGGAGCGTCGGGGAATGTAGGGCGTCTCACCCTGAACATACAAACAGAAGAGCGGGAATGGCAAAAGAGCTGCTTGATTACATTAATTGTGGTTAAAAACATTTGGAAAAGATTGCTGCCCTCTTACAAAGAATCTCCACGAAAGAAATTAAACATGGTCTTAACATTGTACACCATCTGATTAGTGTCATTAATGTAGAATTTCACCATTTTCCTCACTCTCCCTGCTCAAAATTTTGTATCAGGACTTACCTTGGAAATTTTAAATCCTAAAATTTACTCCCAGAGCTATTCATTGCAGCGACCCTAACCTACCTCATGGGAGCAAAACTTGGTGTTATCCAATTTACGGATGGCGTAGGTCATGTCTTCCTTGCGTACAAACTCCACCACGCCAGTGCCATCACGGTACACGTCAGCATAACATACATCACCTGCCTCCCGCATGTGATCCTTCAGGTCCTGCCAACTCCTGCTGGGGGGGAAGGCCTGACGTGAAGAATAGGGATGTTATAGGAAATGTAGCACATTAAGCTGGGGAGGTAATAAGATGCGAGGTGACAAGATGCACGCGCCTACCTGAGACTATAACCCTGTACTCGGAGCGCCGTGACAGGGGACCATACCGTCCCCTTGGGGCTCCTAAAGCTCTGCCACCACCTCCCCTTCGAGGGAATTCAACACGCAGACGGTAGCCATCATAGTCGTAACCATCACGTCCATAAACAGCATCCTCTGCATCCCTGAAGAGTGATACTGACACTCACGCACTCCTCGGAACATGACAGAGGGTATCGACTTTTGACTTTTGGACTACTGAAGACTCAACATATCACTTTAATGTGTTAATGTAAAACTGAGCCAATCTAACAACAAGCATACAACTTTTTCTTAAGATTCAGAGAGGCAATTTGATGGTCTGTTTTCATTATCTCATTTGTAGTGCAGACGGATTAGAGTAGTCTTGTTGTCCAGTTTACCCTCAATGATAAAAAATGGTAAGGACAAAACAGTATGCAACCACAGACAGTATAAAATGTGTTGCCACCTACTGGCTTCTGAAGTCTGGGTTAAAAAGCTTGGAGGTGAGGATTTTTGCGCAGTCAAGCTGGTGCTTTGAAATAGGATGTGAGGAAAGAAGCTTCTCTTTGTGAAACCACATGCTTAAGTGGTTAGCCAATGAGCATTACCTTTGTGAAACTTAGTATGAGAAAGATTTAAAACCGTGACTCAATTTTTTAAATTCGGTATTACCCCAAATGAGTGACTGAACCCATAAACTCAGCAAAAAATTGCTTAGAAAGGTTAAGTAAGAAAGCCAGTTTCCCGTAGATTTACATAGGAACCCAAGTAATTTGAAACTGCAGTTATTGCCCCCTAGTGGCAATCAAATAGAATGCAGATTTAATTGCTTTCACTTTTCAGACTTGCAAAGCACATCTGTGTTTTATATTAAACCCATAAATAACCGAAGGCATTAAAAATATTGCTTCACCCAAAATAAAATTGCAACATTGGTCTTAATTTACTTTTACAACATTATCTAAAATTGGCATAATTTTCTGAGGACACTTCTTACATGGAGAGACCAATACAGCTGTGTAAATAAATCACAGTGCACATTAATTAGACATGGGAAGTGTTTTTAGAGAAACGTCATTTCTTTATTAAAACACTCAGACCCCATCAGTCCCAGTGTCACTCTCCATGGTGCTGAAACAGCAAACTATGTTCTGTCTGTTCAATCATTTTTTAATTGAAACACACACTTTTACAGAAAAGCTGGAAATAGAGCTGACCGTCTACTTCCAGTGGTATGAAGGATTTCATTAAATACAAATGGGAAATATCAGGGGGACTTACAGGGACGTTTTCAATGAGGTTTCAAGATATCTTGCTCGTCTTACTTCGCAATTGCTTTATTTTACTTTTAATATAGTGTTTACTTAATTAAAAAAATTATTTAACTGTTTTAGCTAAATTCTAGTTACAGATGTTTATTTTTCTACTGATAAGTTCAAAGAACAACTCTCCTGTAAATCATTTTGAAGATAAATAGTTTAATTTGGTCAAACTTTGTGAAGCAAGTGCCAGGGATACTGTTCAAATTAATCTGTTTATTATAATCTATATAATAGGGTCTTTGTGCAGACCTTTGAAAACATCTCTGGATAATACAGGTGGGAGTAGACCTGTGTACCTGAGATGACCATATTACAAATATCTGGTCACTATGGCATAATACAGAGCCAATAAAATGAAAACATCTGAAACCCAGCAGTCTGTATCCGGAACCTGTGAAACTAGTTGGTTAAAATCTATGGAAACTCATTTCTGCCACTTTCTAACTCATATTTTGGAGAAATAATACCAGAAACTGAAAAAGAATAAGGACATTTTGAGGTATTAAGTTGGAGTTTTGACTTATGAATGGCATATGTCAAAACTCTTTGTTTCTTCCTCCTTAGTGGTAGAAATAAGATTTCATAAAAAACTGAGCTTATAATGTAAAACCAATATTATCTTATTAACACCAGGGGCAAATCTACAGGGGGGCAGGGTTCAAATGTCCCCCTGGTGTAGAGCATTGCCCCTCAGCTTTTATATCCTTAAAATACTTGTAAAAACTAATTGCTCATTTATTTATTTATTGGGAGGGGGTTTTGTTGTCTCATTTATACCTAAAACTGTCTGTTTTCTTGGAAGAGATAATGATACAATATATAGTTTTAAAGTGTTTTTTGTGGATATTTTGTTGACTCCATACACATACATTGCCCCAAAAGTAATAAATACAAATAAAAAACAAAACATTTTTAAGCACAATTACCTACAATTGTCACCCAAATTAACAATGACAACCATTTCAATATACATGCTTATTCTGAAGTACAATTCTAAAGTGTGGGCATTAACATGAATCTCTTTGGCTTTAAAATCACCTTTAAAGTCTGTCCTGATATTTCGGTGTAAACATGAGTTAAAATGTGGCACTGCAGCCCACCTCGGGTGGGCTGCAGTGCAGTTCTGTCAGGAAAGCCATTTGGCATAAAATCTGTCCAAGACCAGATTACCAACAACTGCCTCCAGAGCTGTTGCACAATAATGTGCCTGAAGATGACAGAAGAGTGGGGGAAGATGTTAATCTTTTCTTCTCTCACTGCCTCCTAACACTAACAAGAGACAGCACAAGCAAAGAAGACAGAAGGCAAAGATGGAGGTGGCAAAGTTGAAGTTAAGAATGTCATTGAAAATTACCAGAATGGACAAAATTAGAAAGTAGTAGATCAGAGGGACGGCTTAATTTGAACAATTTTTAGACAAAGTTAGGGAGACAAGGCAGAGATGGTTTGGACATGTGCAGAGGTTGCATAGTGGGACAATTGTAGTTCAGGGGGTTGAGAAGCTCATCTGTAACCGGAAGGTTGCCAGTTTGATCCCCAGCTCTCTGTCCTGGTTGTTGTGTCCTTGGGCAAGACACTTTACCCTTCCACCTACTGGTATTGGCCAGAGGGGCCGAGGGCACGATATGGCAACCTCGCTTCTGAGTGACTGAATTGTGAAGCGCTATATAAATGCAATCCATTATTATACTAGACAAATGAAGATGGAGTTGCCAGGCAGGAGTAAAAGAAGACCTCAGAGAAGATTCATGGATGTAGTGTAGGATATACAGAGGACTGATGTCATAGAGGACAGGGTGAGATGGAGGCAGATGATCCATTGTGGAGACGTCAAAGTGGACCAGGCAAGAGGAAGAAGAATGAGGCAAATCTGGCTTCATCATAAGAGACAAAGAAGTGTAGAGTGCGGGACTGAAAGATCTGAAAGAGGTAGCACCTTGGCAAACAGTGCTCCTGCTAAGCTATGAGATTTTTAAGACAATGAAATTAACAGCAGCCACCTAGAGGAATATGTTCAAATACTGTGTACACACCATTTTTAATGCAGTGAAAGAAAAAAGTCAGTTCATCTAATGTTGTAGAACGTTTTATTAAAAGAGAATAAAGCTTTGAGATAATTGAGATCATGTGTAAGAAAACCAGAAGTCAGCCACCGCTAGAAAAAAAAAAAAAAAAAAAACTGGACCAAAAAGAAAAACAAAACAAAAGAAAAAAAAGATACAAACCACATTAAAGTTACGATCCCTTGTCTCCTCCCAGACTTCCCTCTTCACCCCTCCCTCCCTCCCTCCTCCACTGGTAACGGTTTTCCACTATTTACCACTCCTTACGCGTGTGGATCCATCCTGCACCTCCCAGCCCTCCTCCTGGATTTGATCCATGCTTTTCTCTTCTTTTTAATTATTTAAAAAATGAAAATAAACGGTGCGGCACTGTGTAGCCAGTAAGTCTGTCTGTGAGGTCCCACACAAAAAGGGAAATTTTGGAAAATTCGAAAGCCAATTTTCTCTGAATATCGCACTACAATAGTTCCGGTTTGATGGGTTTATGTGGACAGGGCCAGGGGGTCGGGATCTTCTCCCGGTAAAAACGCTCCTATGATCTTGCTCCATGTATCCATCCTGAAGCCTAATCCTAAACTGATCCTGAATCCTGATCCAGCTCCGGAATGGTGAGACAATGAGCCCAGTCCAAACCTTCAGAATACCAGCAGAACCAAAGAGAAGGAGGCGAGTTAGAATCACACCTTCAGGAAAATGCTTGAAGTAATGTAAATAAATGCAGCTACCAGGGAGTTTACTTTGAGAAAAAGGAGAAAACCATCTATAATCAAGCCCAAAATACAAAGATTTACTTTGTATGATAAAGGATGAGAAAAGCACCAAAAAAAACCCAAAAAAAAACAAAACAAAAAAACTTAACTACTGAAAACATTCAAACTGGGCCCTATTGTCAGATTTATGCTTTTTGAAAAAAGAAAAAATGAACAGCCTTATAATTTCACAGTTGACAAGGCACAGCCATCATACCATTGGTGCCACATTTGACTCCTCCTCCTCCTGTTTATCCTAATATGAACTGTTTCCTCTGTTCCCATCCTATCCTGTTCCTCTGAACTCTGAACAGAGAAACACAAGAAGGTCAAAAAGACAGCAGTATTTCGCCTGAAGGAAGTAAAAAAAATAAAAAAAATAAAAAGAATCTTTGCAAATGAAGCAAAAAACATTCAACACTCAACCAGGACAATCAGGAGAAGAGAGGTACACAGATGAATTAGAGATGACACAGCAGAAGCAGAACACGTTTTGAGAGAAGAGAAGAAATAATGGAGCAAAACTCGGTCATGTGCACGCTCAACTGGTCTGCAAAAATTAGAATGGAAAATAAAACTGCAGGTGGGTTGGTGTCGGTTAGGGAAGGAAGCACACACCATGACAGCATACATAGGTGACACACGAGATGATCCTTGATGAATACACAGGATTCGTTGAGTAATGTGAAGATTTCCACTCTGGCTCTTAGGTCAGGCTTGCCTAGGTGCGAGAGCGGGAGCGAGAGCGGGAATGGGACCGGGAGCGGGAGCGAGAGCGGCGGGGAGAATATCGGGGAGATCCTCTGTTGCGGCGTGGGGAGTAGCTGCGTGATCCACTCTTGCTCCTGCTTCGACTGCGGCTACGAGAGCGAGAGCGACCGTAGCTGGGGCTCCGAGGGCCGTCCATCTTCACACGGATATACGCCGTCTCACCCTGAACACAAACATGAGCGCACATCACCGACCATTCCTTTTCCTGTTATATGAAACCCACATACAGAAATAGCTAACCACATTTTTCCTGCTTGATGTATTAGTCATAAATAAACAGACATACTGCTGCACAACAACCCCAATCCACACATCAGAATTTTAAATTGCTATTGTTAATATAAAACAGATAAGCCAATTATTGATTCTTATCACCAGGAAATCTTTACAGTTGAGCATTTTGCTTTACTTACTGCAAATTAACTGTCACATTCCTTACAATGTTTAAGTAAGCTTTTCAATGTCTGTGTTGGCTCTCAGTCATATGGGTAATGGTAGTCTTAGCAGCTTTAAGAGATTGGAGATAAAGGAGGAAGAAAAAAAAAAAAGGCATCAAGCCTTCTTTAGGTTTGCAAAGACGTTTCACTTCGCAGCCAACAGGCTCCTTCAGTTCTAAGTGATCCTGAAGGTCTCCTACCCATCTGTGGTAGCAATAAGGAGCAAGAAAAAGCATCA